AAAATATGTCGATTTTTCAATAAAGTTGATAAGTTGCAATTCAATTGAGAATATTTTAATTTTGAAATATTGCAGATTTATAAGTAGGCCTATATCGATCTATACATGCATAATTAAAAAACAAAAGGTAGATCTAAGATTATAATTCATAGATGTATCTCTATGGAGTAAAATAGTTGTTGTTTCTATTTTATCTATTAATAGAAAAATGATGTCTGTTTCAGTAGATTCAGATTACAGCTAGGAAGCTAAAAACATATTGCAATTTCAGCCGTTATAAACGAAAAGATTTAATTATTTGATTTGATTTGATTTTAATTTTGTTTTACAAATTATTATTTGATTTAATTTATAATTTATTTAAAGCTACTTAATTTGATTTGATTTAATTTCATTTGCAATTTAAGCAAGGGACAGGGCGTGAAATGGTTGCACACTTGGTCAAGCGAGAAAATGTTTGCATACTTAACAAAATGGCTAACGTGAGTCATGAATATTTATGATAATGTAACGATTCGCCACAATAACAATTCACTATATAACTTCTTCTTTTTTTCCATTTTCAATTTTTTTCGTTAATATTTAAATTAATTATCAAGAGATAATTATAATACTGAATAAAAACACATGAAATCAAATACATTTTATTACCAAAATTACATAACACATTACAAATAAGTAAACAAGGACATAGTGAATGTAACCTTTAATGAATATTTGTTGATAGTCAATTACAGATTAATAGATATAAATCATGTATCCTCTGGTCTACAAATCTTTGGTAATAATTAAAACACACAGAAAAAAACATTCATACATTCATAGAAAACATAGACACAGCCATTCACATTACGTTATTCTCCACATCATGTTACATTTTTCATATTTTAAATTAAACTATCAATTGTGCGAAGTATGAACCTTTAAATCATAAAAATATAAACATCATTTGCCGCAGTGAGGGGTTACTTTTATCTAATACACAAATACTGTACATATCATATTGTCACAAAACGACCATATATTCCAGCTCTTTTATGCCGGAATGCGTACTTAAGTTTACAATTGAAATGAAACAAAACTGAGTTGTCTCCAAAATTAATGAAATATGCGATTCTTTGTTTTCAAGAAAACACAAATTAATAACAAAGTTATTAACGTTTAATTATTGATTAGAATAAAAATCGCATAAACGATGTGTTACAATTATCAATTATCTTTATAAAGTGTTTATACTTAAAGATTGTAATCTACATTATCACTTTTGCAATTAATGTAACACATAAAGATTCCCATCAATTCCAATCAGCTTATTGAATATTTAAATACTGCTGATGCATGTGCTAGGGGGCATGTATCTTAGATATACCACTACCCCTATATACCACTATACAAACAGGAATGACGCCCTTTCTTATTGATCTTTTTTCCACATATCAATCAATCAGTGCCTACAACATTTTAATAATTCTGTTGTTTTCGGCGTTCATTAAGATTCTGTATGATTAACTGAAAGTTGTCTCAGTGGAAATGGTTCGATACTTGTCACAGAAGTTTAAACAGGAGTCATACATACATAAAATAAACAACATCATGCTACTGGGTACATTGTATAAATGGACCAGCTCACGTTGAGCATGAGGAACACCTTCTACGAAAAAGAGAAAGCAAGTCAATCAGAACATTAATTTACTTATAAAGTGTAAAAAAAGTATAAAAATAATGAGGCATGTGACGACCCTGTCATTGTCCTGGTTCATCATGTTAATTTAATTGATCTGGACATATGCAGATATTTTTTGTCTCTTCGTCAATGGTGATTAATCTGACACCTTCTGTAGTTTTTCCTTATGCTTAGGATAATAAGTATGAGTAATACAGAAAGCCAAATAACCCAAAGTTGTGAAAAAGAGAGTCAAGTTTCTTCACTTTTCCTTATAAAGATTTATCCAATCAGGAACTCCAATGTTGATATGTCTCATAGCTTTGAGTTATGCTTTAAGTAAGAAATACGTTTGAAAAAAGTACTAGCACTTACTCCAAAATGTACTGCCTTTTTCAATGATGCGGGTCATTTATAAAGTTTTTAACCTTTTCCCTTGTATAAGCGTGTTTCGACGGCTTTTTGCACCCCCCCCCCTTTTGAAGCCTCAAACAGTGAAAAAAGTGACCACTTTTTCGGCGCCGTCCCCCATCCAAATGTTACATCAGGGGGTGCCAGAAGGGGGATGTGCACCCTTCTGTTTGGGGGGTTTGAAGGGGGGCGGAGTCTCCCTCATCGCCAAGAAAATTTTGGACATGTGACAGGCTAAAAATGGCTTCAGGTCGATCTTAGGGTAACTTGTAACCGACGCTGAAAAGCCTTTTACTCTATCTCAATTCAGTGAGAAGTTGCAGCACTTTGAAATCAGTTTTGATGGAAAAAAAAACGTTGCAAAATAGTGATTTTTGGCAATTTTGAGACGTCCCATCGTTGCCATGGTAACAGGGAATTTACGATTGAGCACGTTGTTACAGAGGCTATGGTCTAGTCAACATCTGTGCCAAGTTTCATCAGTATCGAAGCATTTTTCATAGTTTCATAGCAGTTTGAACTTGTTACAGGAGGCTTTTCAATGAAAACAGCCATTTTTCGCAATATGCTCATGGGGTAAAAGATTAAATGATGATGAAGTTATGTTTCGACCAACAACCAATACGAATAAGTACAAAGTTTCTATATTACCCCTGAATTATTGTGTCAGTATTAAACATCGAAACTCCTTCAAGCTATGTACACAACTTTGTTTTAATTTCAATTTCTGTTATATGTCTGTTATTTCAAGTAGAAAACGGAAGAAAGACACAATTTTACAATAAAATAAATGTAATAAAAACTAACCATTTCATAAACAACAACTTTAACGGAAATATGCACACATTTCAAGTAATTGATATTTCAAGGATATTATACGATATGCAACCTTTGAAAATATGATTTTACAAATTTCCACAGTGACCTTGAACTTTGGATAAATGGCTTCAGCATTAATAGGTGTCAAATGATTGTTTGCAGTATTATTTTAGGTCTGGACTGTCTATACACATTAAAACAAAGTTAGACTTTTTCCTTCTCAAGTAATTGATTGTTTGGACAAGGAATTTACATAAATTGCCACTTTGACCTTGAACTTTGATATTATTCAGAAAATTAATGTGCATCATGAGTTGGCAAGTTGAACAAATTTATCTTTATTCTTGTCAAGATATTAACCAGACAATTTTTTACACATTGTCATCTTTGACCTTAATACCTCTAAATCAAAAGTTTCATCTGCTAGCAACGAACAATAACCTTACCAATAAACATGAACTATGGCTTATGTCTTATCAAGTTGTTGGTAAATGTACAAGGGACGTCTACAAGAAAGGCATGACGTACTTCCTTTTTTTCAACAATCGGAGCTAAATATATAGAGGATATTGAATGAGTGTAAGTTCAATACTGAATATATTGTACGAGTTGAATAAATTATATTATGCGAGCCTCTGGTGCAATAAATTCAGTATTGACATAAACAAATTTAATATTCTATGTATCACATACCCAAAATACAGTTTAAAGTGAAATAAGAGTCATTTTTCATTGACGCGCCTGTATTATAACTATATTATTATTCTTTACCAGACAAAATTAGATCAATTGACAATATCCAAACATTTAAAACAAAAGTAAAACTTTTTTAAGTAATGAAAATGATAAACAAGTGAATACTATGTTATTTATTATTAAATTGATGTGTAACTTAAGATAAGGTTTTGTAAGATGTTTATGTTGTACTTGATATGTTTTAGTATAAACGAAATTTATTTCATTTTGTTTGTGTACAATGTACTTGTCTTATTATAATGAAAAATGTGTCTTGATTGTTGAAAATTGTCATTTATTTTAACTTCTTTAAAACTCATTTATTATTATGTAAGTTAGTGTAATAATTTTACAGAAAATGGACCCCATTGGAAATAAGCTTTAATCCTAGGGTTACATAGAACATACTCATTAATTAATCTTATAATTATTTTTGTTGCATTTATGTGTGTGTTTTATATATATGCAAGTTAATATATGTGATAACATTGTATGTGTATATGTCTATTCCCTGAATAAATCGTTAACGCTAACATTTAGCGCGTCTTTACACTATGTTTGTATAACGCTAATGACGTCACGTCAAAATATATGCACGGCCGTGCAATACCATATTTACGATGTCGCAAAATCGGCACGGGTGTGTGATAAACTGACATTACACACATCTAATTACTCTTCTAAATGAAACATACTATATAGTAGTCATTAGTTATATGCATTCTAAACCCGGACATTAAACCACACGTATTTCTAAAATCAAATTTCTTTTTTCCTTGCTTGTCATGTGACGAATTGTGTATAAACATGCATTAAATTTTCAATGTTACTGCCATTTTTTGTTATTACTTAAAGTGATATTATGCTTTATTTTTCACTGTTAAGTTGTCTTGTATTAGTAATATATTTCAAAAGATTGGCTTTTATAATGACGATTAACAAATAATTGATAATGAAAATATAAAAGTACATATGTACACGAATAAGAAAATAATTACTCCACTCTGTTAAGAATTGAATAATAACGATTTTATTCTGAACTTATTGATAAGTTGTTCATATTAAATGAGCTGCTTCACGACAAAACCAACGTTATGTGTTTGCGACCAGTATGGATCAAGACCAGCCTGCGCATCCGCACAGTCTGATCAGGATCCATGCTGCTCGCTATCAGTTTCTCTACATGGTATATAGTTTGTAAGCGAACAGCATGGATCCTGATCAGACTGCGCGGATGCGTAGGCTGGTCTGGATCCATGCTGGTCGCAAACGCATAGTGTTGCTTTTGTCGTGACGCTGCTCAAATAATAAAATTGAACACATTCATGGCTGACTGTTAAGACTTTTTTTACAAAAGTATTACATAAACTAATTAGATAACTTAAGAAAATATGATCTTAACATTTCTGATAGAAGAAAAATACATTTTAATACTTTGAAATTCTATGATAACCGCCATGAAAACACATCTGCAGATATTTCTTAATTCGAAATCTCGCCATTTACTTAATATTTAAATTCAGAATACGCCGGTATAACGTGGGGCTAGGACGGTATCTTGCCCACCGTATATGGACAGACTAACTCAAACCGAGCCTGTAAGAAAAATATTTGTTGATATTTTCATCCTCGTTTAACTGAGGCTTAATTATGTTTGAATATTAGCATGATTTTTGTCTTTTATATTATTGCATTGATTGCTCGCACTGAAATGTATTTATTACTCTGAAATTATATGATGTGTATGATGATGTACTATGTACAAATCAAAGAAATAAAAGTTATGTTCTGTTCTGTTCTGTAACAGTTTCATTTTAGTCGTTTTGGGCGTTATCTAGCATTTTTTTCTTCTTCTGTTTTATAAGTATATTTTTTGGTCATACAAATGCACTTTAAAGACCAAAGTGCGATGATATCTATAGATAAGCAATAAGATATTACTACAGTATGTGGATCTTTGAAGATGAAAATACAAGCAATAAAATCCATTTGAAATTGATAAATTAATGTTTGTATCGTCAACAGTATGTAGACATCATCTGATAATCGTGGTTTTTCCTAAAAAAATAAAATGCATTTTTTTTATAAGTGGAACTAAATACTTTAATGGCGCTAATTGATAATATTTAACGTAAAACGTCACTTTAAATCTTGGACAGACTTTAACAGCCTTAAATAGCGCATTCTTTGATGATTCACTTGATGTCATATTGATAAAAAAACCCACAAAAACACATTACATTACACATGTATATTGCTTTTAACGAGAAAATTAATTTTAACATTCAATTTTCGTCTTTGATTGTGATTTAATTTTTTTCCTGACAACGTTTCAAGCCGGAGTTTTAACCAAAACAAAAGTACTTACTTTTATTAAATTGTAAACACGAAACTTTTGATTGTTGAGGACGAAGATGTGTAAATAATGGCTTGTCTCAACTGTCTGACAAATGTCCACTCCACTTCAACATTATCATACTGTATCTTAACGTCGTTTGCAAAGACCTACAGAAATAATATTATTGATCCAGCATAATTTATTATTATTAATTTATTATTATTATTATTATTATTATTACTATTTTTATAATTATTATATACCAACCTTCTTAAGCACTTTTTCATGCACATTGACACGTTCAAAAGTACTGTAACAATATAACCAAATAAATGATACATTAAAAAAATATTAAAACATCAATATTGCTCAAGTCACAAATTTAAATCAAATGTAGTTTAAAAAAATATAAAGATTCACACAAATAATAAAATACAGGTAAGACTTAAGAAAAAAAAAGCGAACCTAAAAAATAATCAGCTTAAATAAAACCTCTTTAATAAGTGAGTTTTGAGTGCTCTCTTAAACACTATTAAAGTTTCACAGCTTTAAAGTGTTCTGAGTAGGGCATTCCAGAGTTTAGGGGCTGCCGTCATAAAACCACGATCACCATAACTCACAGTCCTACTACGCGGTACAACAAGTGTTAAGCAATCATTCTGGGACCTAAGTTGCCTGGAAAGGATATAAATGTCTAGCATTTCGTATGTACGTAGGTGCCTGTCCATGAAGCACCTTAAACACATATGTAAGGAGTTTTATATTCGACTCTGATGTGCACAAGAAGCCAATGTAGTTCCTATAAAACTGGGGTTATATGGCAGTTTCGCGGTGTCCTGGTAATAACACGAGCAGCCGTATTTTGAACATTTTGGAGCTTGTTGAGAACGTACTTTGGAGATCCGTATAGAAACGAATTACAGTAATCTAATTTTGATGTCACTAACGAGTTTATCAAGGTTCTGGTTGAATCAACAGTCAAGTATTTCCGAATTTGACATATTTGTCGTATTTTCCAGAAGCATGAACGAGAAACTGAGTTCAGATGTTGTTCTATGTCTAAATGAGAGTCCAGTACGGCGCCAAGGTTTCTAAATATTGTTGATGGTTTTATAACAGAATCACCGACTCGTACAGTTAGATCTTCAAAATCACTTTGTTTGGTACAAAAACAACCACCCCTGTTTTCTCCGCATTGAGTTTCAGAAAATTATTATTCATCCATAGAATGATGTCATTCAGGCATGATTCAATCCGTCGCATGGTCTCATTGCGTGAAATGGCTTCCTTTGGTTTAAACGCCATGTCCTCCTCCATCGCCAAAAAAATTATGGACATGTGAGAGGCTAAAAATGACCCCAGATCGATCATAAGGTAACGTGCAACCAACGCTGAAAAGCATTTGACTGTATGTCAATCCATTGAGAAGTTGCAGCACTTTGAAGTCAATTTTGATGGAAAAAATCAACGCAAAATAGTGATTTTTTGGCAATTTTGAGATGTCCCCCGTTGCCATGGTAACAGGAAATTTAAACCTGAGCATGTTGTTGCAAAGGCAATGGTCAAGTCAACACTTATGCCAAGTTTGATTAGTATTAAAGCAGTTTTTATAGTTTTATAACAATTTGAACTTGTAACGGGAGACTTTTTAATGAAAACAGCCATTTTTCCCGAAATGCTTATGTAGTAATGGGTTAAACAATCTTTCATCAGCCATGTTGGAATGGGGGTCAAGTTCACAGGATTTGTTTGTAGAATTGTGAGTAATTTTTGAAATTTCCATATCAGAGACTACTAAAAAGTTTGAAAATTGCTCTTCATTGAAAGGTGCTTTAGGGATAACATTGTCTGCTTGTTGGTATGATTTGGTCCTGGCTATACGATTACGTATGCCTTAAACCTTATCCACAAAGAAGTCACTAAAGTCTTGTGCTAGAACGTTTGCAGGATTACCAGATGGCAGCACAACATCTGTGTTTTCAGTCATCAAATGCCGGGTCACTTTGGTAAGGTTTTTCATATCACGACCACATGACTCTACTTTCTCAGTGTAGTATTTGACTTTGTACCTATTTAGAAGCTTATTCGTAACAGCGCATCGGTTTCTACAAATTGAATGATCAATTTTCAATCCAGTCAAGCGCCACTTACACTCTAATGGACGTCTTAAATGTTAAGCATCATGAAGTTCTTGGGTATACCATAGATTCATTGGTCTTAGTACAATGCTCTTGGACTTAAAGGGTGCATGTTTGTCAAGGAGGAGAGAAAGGCCATTGTTGTAGGCACTACACTATTTAAAATATCTGATGTCAAAATATCTGTTTTAAACTCATTAATATCTATTGATTTTAATTTTCTGTAAGTCACAGTTTTTCGTACTGGTGGTGGTTTTGACACACTAGCATTAAATACAATAGAGCAGTGATCACGAGACGTGTTTCCATTATTGACTGGGAGTCCAGGATCAGATATTTCTACATTTGATACCGTTGAGTCTGTATCTGTGGTAATGAGCACATCTAGTATGTGGCCTGCTACATGAGTTGGTTCAGTGACGTGTTGTCGCATGCCACACGCTTCCAAGACATTTTTGAATTTTGCGGTGTTAGGGTTTGAAAGATTGTCCAGGTGAAAATTAATATCGCCCACCACAATAATATTGTTCTCAGCAGTTGTAAAGTTTGCAAAAAATGTCGGCCATTTATCATCAAGAAATGTACTAGTCTTAAAGATATTCTGTTTGTTTGAGGGCGGCCTATTTAACACAGCTAATCGTAGAGAAAAGTTTTTTACAGTGATGTTGCAGTCCATATATTCAAACGAGGTAATATTAGTATTGCGACTGGATGCAAGCATAGTTAGTTTTTGGGGTGCCATGTAAATAACCGCTACTCCACCACCACGACCTTGGCGAGGAACATGGGCAATTTTGTATCCACTAGGTACTAATTCGGCAATACACGCTGTGTCACCAGGAGCCACGTTTCTGTCACAGCGATGATGTCAAAATCATTGGATATGATGTAATCAGAAAAGGCCAAACTCTTATTTTTCACTGATCTTGAATTGTGACAGAATATTTTAATCTCAGTTTGCCCTTTACAATCAGGCAGTGGTTCAAATGTGATCCTTCTCAAATTGTCAGGATTAACACTGTTTATATTGGGATTTAGTCTATGTTCAAAATCTTTTATTCTTGTTAATACATTCTGAGGTAAAATTCTAATATTATGAAGGTGAACTCAATCATTTGTGTCCCATATTTATTTTTTAATGACACGACCCCCTCTAGTACCCCTTTATTGTTTTAGTATGTCTAGAAGTTTCAATGTTTCTAGTACACAAGGATCAAATTTGACTGGTGATAATTGCCTTATATTATGTAGGCTACGCCTATTACATTGGATAATCCATGATAAACACTGATCAGCTTAATCCGCCTTAGGCAAGATACACATATCTGACATTTCAATTGAAATATCAGGTATGGTCATAAATTCCAAATTTTCACAAAAACTGCAAATTTATACCTTTCAAAAAGTATATATATTCAATCATTACACGTATATAAACACACATGACAAATTTCAGGGGAATCCTTTAGTATTTCTTGTTGAAATAATTAAAAGTTCACAGAGCACATTTTTGCAGCCTACACCTGGCGCATACAGTTATAGAAAAGCATAATTTCTTTTTTTTCCGAACTAACACATGTACTATAATGTTAACAGTAAAACTGTTAACACAACTTTGGGACTTTTTATTTAATTATAAACTCAAGCCTCTTGCCCCTCATCCCTGTTTGTTCGAATTCCTCCAAGAACTTTGGATTCTTTCATGTGAGGAAGCTATCTAGCTAGCTTACGAAACGTCGGTTGTTCTACTCAATTGCCCGCTTGTGCCTGAAATAATGCACGGTGGGGCACCTTAGGTTTTCCTCCACTAGTTATGTTAGAAACTTTCCATATTGTGTTGGTATAAGATTAAAAAAAACCTAACCAAAAATGCTTAATTATTGTAATCAGTTTACGAGTAGTCTCAATATTACGACTGCAAGACCGATCGATTTCTCATAATGGTATAATATATTAAATATTTGTCGGGCTTAAGACGCGCATTGTCTGTAAAATAAAAAGCCTTTGCGCTAGTTTACCTGTATCTGTTTGTCTTGGACAATGAATGAAATTCGGCATTCATCCAATGGACACAAGGTTTGCCACTCAAAAGGAAATTGCTTATTTATATCGTTTTGTCCAGCCGTCAAACTAGAAACTCTTAAATTGCAAGACGGCACGTTTTCATCAACCCTGAAGAATCAAATAAGAAATGAGCCGCGTCGTGACAAAACCAACGTAATGCGTTTGCGACCAGCATGGATCCAGACCAGACTGCGCATCCGCGCAGTCTGATCAGGATCCATGCTGTTCGCTGTCAGTTTCTCTACTTGTTATATAACAACATGGAGCATGATAAGACTGCGCGGAGGCGCAGGCTGGTCTGGATCCATGCTGGTCGCAAACCCACTATGTTGGTTTTGTCGTGATGCGGCTCAAATGATGCTACATTGTAGATGTTTTCCCTAAAAAACCTGTTAATGCATAGTATCTGTGTTACAGTTTCCAAAAAAAAACCATATTTATTTATGCAGTTATACATGAGCTTTCTTTATTTAGATCTTTGTGTCAACTGGTATAATTATAATAATGAATTGGCATTTTTATGGAGGTTAAAATACTTCATGTACTTTGTTTACATATTGCTAAATTTATGATGTATACATGCATTTGCAATGCTACTTTTGTCAGTTGTAAAACATCTATCATGCTATTTATACATTACTTAAACATGATTTGGAATATATTTGACATTTTTAAAGAATTGAAAAAGCCCCCCACTGAAATAGTGAACAAATGTCTTATATAGACCCCACGCACTTATTTTCGTTTAAGAAGTGTTGTTGAAAAATTGATGACTTTTTCGGGGCAGACCCTATTAAAAATGAACATGACGGGGTACCAGAAGGCGGATGTGGTAGCCCCGTCGTCGCAAAGAAAACATTGGACTTGTGAGAGGCTAGAAATGGCCTCAGGTCGATCTTACGTTAATGTGAAACCAACGTTTAAAAAAATTGTGACTCACAATCCATTGAGAAGTTGCAGCACTTTCAAATCGGTTTTGATGGAAAAAAACAACGCAAAATATCATTCTTTTGCAATATTGAGAAGTCCCCTAGTTGCCATTGTATTATGAGCATGTCATTACAAAGGCTATGGTCAAGTCAACATTTGTGCTTAGTTTGATCAGTATTGAATCATTTATTTATAGTTTCATAGAAATTTGAACTTGTTACAGCTGGCTTTTCAATGAAAACAGCCATTTTTCACAAAATGCGGTAAAGTGTTACTGGAGATCAAGATTTCATTTTACATATCCTTTACAGAAACACTCAAGAATATAACACGCGTTCCTAAATTAAATCATATTCAAAATAATACCTCAGACTGAACATCCTGTAGCTATGGATACCATGCCCACGTAACTGCATAGTGCTAAAAAACAAAAACATCATAGTTGCAAAATCTAAAAACTATATAAAAAAGAAAATCAAGAAACCAAAGCAAACAAGAAAAATTAAATAATCTTTATTTAAAATCTGATTTAATATCCAATCAATAACTTTATTCAATGGCTTTATGATGAACAATATTTAAGCTGAGCAACAAATTGATTTCAGCATGAATACTTGAAATTTTTATTTTATTATAAAAATGCATTTAAAAAGATTTACATAAAGAATTAAAGACAGGAAATAATGCTGCTTCTAGTAGGCTATTAGAATACAACTTCAGCTTTAAAATTTAAACAAATATTCTTACAATTATATAAAGGTAAATAATATACTTACAAACAGAACAAACAAGGTAAGTATGTTATCAAATGTAGCTATCATATTAGTGAATGTTTATAAGTCAATTCAATAGATTTTGTATGATTCAAGGAACAGTTTTTAGGAATTATAATTTGCCATTTTAAGATATTGTTTGTATGAAAGTCGTGAGTAATAAATGACATACTAAACAGTTCTCTAATTAAAATTTTGACAACAGCTATGCTAATTGATATTTTTTTCATTTATTTGTCACTGTCTTTACTTTTCATTTTTTCGATTTCGATTTATAACGAATGAGGATGTTTAATATTTTATTTTCTTTTAGAACGACGATTAAGATACATTGGTACATTCAAATTACTAAACGACAGAACGAGCAAAAGTAACCAGCTTGGACACAATACGGAATTTTAACAGTCTTCAGCACATAGACCTTTTTCACAATACGATTTTCAATACGATTTTAGTAACGAATGTTGCATTTCGCGCATGCGCATTCTGCGTAGGGCAAAAACGCAATAACGATGACTACAGTTTATGATTCTTTTTCTACTTCCAATATAGTACAGACACCTTCCGGCGTATACTCGTAAAGTTAATAACGTACAATTATTAAAATCGTTATTGAAGTTACTTTTACATTTAGCGATCAATGTTTATTGATTTTGTGAAGAGCCAATTTGTGTGACATGCATTAAAAATTAACATGTGTTACGAAGAACCGGACAAAATGTGTGAAATGTCACTTCCGAACAGCTTCTAAAGATTAAAAAAAATATTTATTCAAAATATATCTATGACTTTAACATTTTCTGTTTGCATCACATTCAAATCGGATAAAGGATAAAATCAGTTAAACTGAACACTAAAAATGCATTATCACCTGTTCTGACTTTTGACAGAATGATAATTAACCTCTATTTCCTGTTATAAAATTTCTTTAGTTTTTATACAAACTATTTCAACAACAATTAAGCTGACTTTTAATTTGCTAAAAGATATATTTTCACATCGTCTTTAAAATTTTTATCTTAATGTCATGTCCGTGATCGTAAATTCTTAGCAATTATCTTTTCCATGCCATTTTTGATATTCTTCGCCACAAAGCTATAAATGCATATTTTCTTTTTTTGTTAAAAGCTTTTTTATATAATTTTTCTACCTTTTACCTTAAACTAACTCGGAATTGTCTACCAACTTGTACTATATTCCTATGTAGGACGATGCTCTTTTTTGCCCTACGCAGACCGCGCATGCGTTATAAATATACTATATATTGCAATCAAAGAAATGTCTTACTAAGATGCAGGTGGCGTTCGAACGAAATTGAAGTCCACCCTAGACCCCATTATTGGAGGTCTAGGGAAGTTTATTTGCAGTCCATCGGAAGATGAAACCTTAAATTTAAAAAAGAATAAATACAAATCTAAACTTTGATATGATTAAAATTGTTGAAGATTTTGTGCATGTATATACATTAGAGATATATAAAAAAGGTAGAGAAATAGATGCGATGATTTTCAAACACTTTGCATATTTTAGCTCATTAAAATAGAAACAGTTTACACAAATCTTTTTCAATGTTATTTAATTGTATTTTTTGTAAAATACATTATTTATTTTATTTTTCGATTTGCGTCACCCGTTTTAATTCAATATTTCAACATCATAAATACTCAAATAAATTATGTTGTTATCATATAGAATATACTTCTTACAACGTGCTCCGTAAGTATGCAGAATTAAGATGCATGCGCAAACTGTTTAAGGTAAAAAGATAATTGCTACAATCAAAAATATAAGATTACGTTCTTAAATAAAAGTCTGTTCAATATAGTTCGATTTATCGTTTGCCCTAAGCAGAATGCGCATGTACGGTATATCTTACTTTCTAAAATGGTCTGCAGAACAAAACCATTACGTACTAGATTTTATCACACTCCGTAAATATGGCATTGCACGGCCGTGCATATATTTTGACGTGACGTCATTAGCGTTATACAAACATAGTGTAAAGACGCGAAAAATGTTAGCATTATAATATAGGCGCGTCAATGAAATATGACTGTTATTTCACCTTAAACGGTCTTTATTTTTGGTATGTGAAAAATAGAATATTAAATTCGTGTAAGTTCATTACTGAATTTATTGCACTCGTTGAATAAAATAATATTGTACTCGCCGGAGGCTCGCATAATATAATTTTATTCAACTCGTGCAATAAATTCAGTATTGAACTTACACTCATTCAATTTCCTCTATAAGCAGTATAATCGAGGCTAAATAACTGTAAATTATTTCAAGATATACAATGCCCAGCTTTGAGTTAAATATTTTGTTCACAAATTCATTAAAATATACGGAATTCTTACTAAATATGTCTAAATTGAATAAAAGAATACGTAAATTATGTATGGGAAGCTGAATTCACAGTTATGGGTCACTGTGCAGCAATTAACAATATTTTAAATATAAAATTTGAGCATGGTACATCTTAAATAATATCAAAACATATCATTGCTTGTGTGTGTCTAAGTCTAAATGAGACATGAAAATTATTTTTTTGATATATTTATCTCAGCTTTGAATTAAAACATGAATCAATCATACCGGTGGTTGAAATACTTGTTTGAAGTTAATTTTTTCTACATATCCGTATCCAGTTTCCAAAGTTTGCTGCTCGTTCAATGGACCCGTCAGTGTCTCGCATTTTCCCGAGAGATCAGATATGTGTCCGCCAACAATTGTATCCTGTGTGTTCAGTAAATAACACAATTTTAATATGTTCTATCATTGTCATATGTTTCACGGAGAGCACTTGAGGCCTTCCTTCTATACAGAATGTTTCATGGGTGTTTATACATTATGTTGGTTTTGTCATGGCGCGGCTCATTTATCAAAATATTAACATATACCTATTCTTCTGAAATTAAAGCGATTCACATATATTCTATCTCTGATAAACTTGACACGCTGAGTGTACTAGAAAAAAGGTTGACAATTTTGAACATGAAGTTAACAAAATATGGTGTGAGCTGTATGACTTTAGCAAGCAATTTGCAGACCGTGTCAACACAAGTGAAAGTAGAATCGACATTATTGAGTTCAATGACGTATCTCAAAGGTCTGAAATTAAGCATTTTAACAAGACGAACGTATCGATCTACTTAAAATCGCAGAACATGCGTAATAACCTTTTATATTGTGGGATTGAGGAGCCAACCAACGAACGACAGCAGGATATCGAACCGAAAGTGCGCAACTTTATGGTAGAAAAGCTTAAAATTGCTCAACAAATGGTCGATAACATAGTTATTGAGCGTGCTCATAGAACCGGATATCAAGAATCGGATCCAAACAAACGCCGTAATGGCATTATTGTTTGTAAATTTGCTAATTTCAAGGATAGGGAACAAGTACGAAATCAAGGGTTCTGCTTGAAAAAAATGCAAACTTTTTCATTAAAGAGCAGTTCCCTCCTGAAATAGCTGAAAAAAGGTGAAAGTTGATCCCCCAACTTAAAGCTGCACGTGACGAGAGTAAGCGGGTTTGGCTCGCATACGACACCTTATATATTGACTGGAAGCCCCAGCAGAGATAGTTCGTGTTTCGGAGAATGAACTTTAAAATTATTGTGTGGAATTGTAATGGGCTATTGAATTACAAACTAACTGATCAAAATTTTGTTGAAATAATCAAAAGTTATGACATAATTATTTTTTCTGAATCATGAACTGCTAAAGACTCTGTTTTAGATATTGATGGTTACTATTGCTATGATTATTATAGAAATTCAAGCATAGAAGAACTAGAAGAAATAGTGGTGATATAGTTATTTATATAAAGGAAAACTACAGTAATGGTATATCTGTTGTCAAAAATACTCATGACACAATTGTTTGGCTAAAAAATTATCACTCTTATTTTTCACTTGATACTGATATTTATTTGTGTAGAGTTTACCTTTGGTCAGACGAGTCCCCTATTGCTGGTATAATTCATGATGATTTGTTTGATTTATTATTTGATGATGTATCATATTTTGAAACACTAGGAACAGTTATGATTGCTGGGGATTTGAACTCACGAGTTGGTAGCCATAATGATTTAGTATCCTTTGATGTTTGTAATGATCAGCTACATTTTGATTTTTATACCCCAGATATTCCTCAAGGACGGGCCTCAGAAGATAATGTATGCAATGCTTAGGGGTTTCTTAAGCTTGATTTTTGTAAGTCTACATCATTGCGAATAGCTAACGGTAGAATTGGTGATACCAGTTCGTTCACAGTTTTTAACCAACGATCATGTAGTGCAATTGACTATTTGGTTTTGAATGATAAAGATTTTAAGTACATTTCAACTGTTACCGTTTAACGAATACAGTGACCATGCACCACTCTTCTTTGAAATTAATATTAATTCTCTGATAAGTAATCAAAATATAAATGATTATGAAAAAACCTCGGAGTACACATTTTATAAATGGTCAGATAATAACAAGATAAACTTTAGACGTGATATAATTTCAAAACTTCCAGAGTTAAATGCACTTTTACTTAGTAACAGTATATCGGAGAGGCTTTCTATTGATAATTTAGTTGAGAATTTTTCCTCGTTGATTGAAGAAGTGGCCGAACCGTATTTTAACATTCGCGGATATAATGCAATATGCAATCTACATCATGTAAAAAAGAGTGGTTTGATCGCGAGTGTGTAGAATCAAAGAAACTGTATATTTTAGCGCTTAATTCATTTAGTGGAAACAAATCAATAGATAACTGACAATTACTTTTTGAGCGTAAATGTTCTTATAAACTTTAAATGCGCAAGAAAAAAAGAGTGTTCGAGACTAAAAAGTCGCATTAATTATTCGAACTTCGTAAATCTAAACCAAAGCAATTTGGAATCATTTTAAGTCAAAACTTGACAAGTGTTAAAACGATGTAAAACCTTAAAAATTTCGTGAGTACTTTGCTAGTTTGTTGTTTCTCTGAAACAGACTTTAATATAAATAACCCAATTTTTGAATGCCTGAATACGCCTAGTACGTCTAATGAAATACTGATGGCAATTAAAGATCTTAAGCGAAATAAGGCACCATGTCCTGCCGATAATTTATTCAATGAGTTTTTCATTGAGACGTCCGACATACTAATCGGTCATATCACGGACTGTTTTAACACTATTTTTGATTCCGGTCATTTCCCAAAAGTATGGTCTTATGGTTATATCGTACCATTATACAAAAAGGGAAATAAGAGGGTACCGAATAATTAAAGAGGTAAAACATGAATTAGCAATTTTGGTAAATTATTTCCAAAGGTATTAAAAAGCGGGTTAAAAATTGGGGGCGTAATAACAATATAGAGTCTGACGCACAATTCAGTTTTCGTTCAGGTGTAAGCACCGTTGATGTAATTTTTGTCTTGCACTCTTTAGTGGAACGAATACTATCCCAAAATTCACGCTTTATTGTTCTTTAATAGACATTAAAAAGCTTTCAATTCAATTTATCGTAATGCTCTTTGGTATAAACTTTTTAATCTTGGACTAGATGGTAAATCGATCAGGATTTTTAGAGATATGTACTCTTCGGTGTCTTCCTGTGTTAAGCACTGTAATACTTTGTCAGACTTTTTTGATATATTGATTGGTCTAAGGCATGGCCAAAATAATTCACCGAATTTGTTTGCTTTATTTCTGGAAGATCTAGAACAATACTTAAGGAATGATGATAATAATAACGATGAGGGTTTCACTTTTTATGATATATGTATGATTATTTTACTGTTTGCCGACGATATGGTCATATTTTTAAAGTCAATTGAAGAATTGCAATCGAATCTAAATAATTTAAATCTTTATTGTTATAAATGGGGCCTAAAGGTCAACATAGATAAAACTAAAACAATGTTTTTTTGGAAGAGGGGAAGCATCAGAGAAAATTAAAAATGGTAATACGATAATACTTTATTAGAGACTTTTGATAACTTCAACTATTTGGGTGTAATCTTTAATTATACGGGATCTTTTTAACTTCATAATCAGTATGCTATAGGAAAAGCTATGAAAGCCCATAATGTTTTACTTCTTGTTAATAACAGATATGATGTGATCCCTTCTGTTTCACTCCAACCCTTTGATGCATTTGTTGCCTCAACATTAAATTATTCTTGTGTAATATGGGGTTTTACAAAATCTAAGGATATAGCTGAAAGGATTCACTTGCAATTCTGCAAGTCATCGTTAGGTGTAAAACACAGTACATGTACTGCAGCAGTTTATTCGGAGTAAGGTCGATATCCTCTTTATGTTCAAAGATATGTTCAATAATAAGATTCTGGTTACATATTCTTCATTCAAATAATAATATCTTAAAGTCTGCTTTTTATTCATCATTAAGTCTTCATGAAAATGGTTCTAACTCCTGGGAGCTAAGGTTCATTCTATTTTAAATGAATATGGATTCACAGATGTATGGCTCAACCTATTGCAATACAGTCCAAAAGAGTTTGTTGAAATATTCAAACGTAGATTAGTTGATTGTTTTATACAAAAGGTAAAGCAGACATTCAGTCGTCTATTCCACTTATGTCTAATCTTTATGTACATTTGATTGACAAATTTGAACCTGCATTTTATCTTGATAATTTATTCATTAAATACTACAGAAAAAAATTATCTCGTATTAGGTTATCTTCTTATAAATTAAAGATGTAGACAGAGAGGTATGGCCCTAATAGACATCCACGTTCAGAAAGAAAATGTGAATTATATAATCATCAAGAAATTGAGGATGGATTTCATTTTTTTTATCATTTGCAATTGTTATACTGCATTGCGTAGGGAGTTCATTAAGCCATGTGTTTACAGGAGGCCGGGTTTGTTTAAATTTTTGCAGCTTTTGAAGTAAAAAAATAAATCCGAATTAATTGGACTTGCTATATACATCATCTTTGCTACTATGCGTCGATATTACCTTATTTATATTACCATTTAAAAAACTATTTTTACCAGTATGTGCATGAAAATTATGCTCATTAAAAGAGGCAGTATGGTATTTATCATGTATTTTGAATCGTTGATTCACTACATATTAAATATATGAAAGTCATTTCTGCAACGTATTAATTAGAGCAATGCCAACTTTATATTGTTTAAATATGGATTTAAGAATATTGTCCATATATACTTTTGTTTAACAATGTTTGTTTTCAATATGATCGTACCATGACTTATGATTTATGTATTACGTTTTTTTTTGCATTATCATGACTATGTACAAATATGTATACGTCAATAAATTATATGGATCTAAATGTAACTGTTTCGTATAGACTGAATATATCCACACATACAAAAAAGAACATAAATGTTTTTTTTTTTTGCTGTTTCTTTTGTTTTTTGTTTTCTTTTACATTTTCAACCATTAGTTTTATGTTTCCTTTAACTTTAAGATCGTGTGAATGTAAACGTTTTATGTACCTAATCAATGCAAGATGATTTTTATTTTATTTTCCAGACAACTACATACTCGATATAACTTTTGCCTAAAGGTATTTTAAAAGGCTTAAACCATTCACCAGTTCCTATTTTAACTATGAGAGAACACCCAAACGTTTTCGAGTCTGAACAAATTTATTGACATGATACTATTCTAAATACTGCTCTGGACCAAAGGACAAAAATATTTAATAGCTAACATATGGCTGGAGATTCATCTTCAGATCTAATAACTCTTCTTCTATTCTTTGTAATACATAGGTAATTCTATATACATATTTATTGCGCTTTGCAATTGCGATAAGTGAACAACTGCTGTAAATACAAAATCGTAATTATAACAAAAAATGATAATCTTGAAAAGGTTGTTTGTCTTATAAGAAATTTATGTTTCTTAAAAAGGTTCCACATTTTTCTAAGAGGTGCAACTTTTGTTTAAATTTTGTTTTATGCTTTTCAGTAGATTACTGATTTATCCGTGAAAATATATATTTGATAATTTCACAATGAAAATTATCAAAATATAATTTCATACTTTTCAATGACGAAACTACTTTTTATGATTCCCCCCATGTGGTACCTCATTTTTTTTTGCTGACAATTTTGACAATGTCAGGCTGTTTAGAGTAAAGCAAAGCTAAAATTGATAAATAACTTAAATGTCAAAAGTAATAAAAAGAAGAAAACTTAAATCTATTCATCCAAATTACCAATCACCAAATATCGTCTCTTATTTTGTTTTGTTTCGTTTTTACAGTCTGAAAAATACATTCCTTCCACAGTGAAAATTATCAAAATATAATTTCACACTTTTCAATGAAGAAAATACTTTTTATGATTTCCCCCATGTGGTACCTCAATTTTATTTTTCCTGACAATTTTATCAATGTCAGGCTGTTTAGAGTAAAGCAAAGCTGAAATTGATAAATAACTTAAATGTCAAAAGTAATAAAAAGAAGAAAACTTAAATCTATTCATCCAAATTACCAATCACCAAATATCGTCTCTTATTTTGTTTTGTTTTGTTTCATTTTTACAGTCTGAAAAATACATTCATTCCACATGAAAAACTGTTCTTGATGACATTTGGGCATATTTAAGTATCCTACGGGCAATAACTGCCGTATGCTTTATGAAAACTTGAAAAGCAATGACAGCTATCAGCCCGAAGAATACGTAAACAACCCAGCGTTCGTAAGGCAGCCTTTCAACAAATCCAATTTTTCCAAATTCCTAGCCGGTTTTTAATGTTTACACATCTGTCAACACTTATATATTGTTTGTTACAATCCTCAAATAGGTATTCTTTCTTTTAAAAAGGTGTATGACTAACAAATCCAAGTGATATCCCTCTTAATCAAACACAATTATTTTCCTCCCGTGAAATACACAACTTTTAAAAATAGCGGTCGTTAACATTTAACAGAGCAAGGTCTAATATAAATTCACAGGAAGTAACAGAAATATGGATTGATGGTTTGACTTTTTTTCCTACTAGAAATGTTTGTTTTCATTATAAAAAACAAGCGATCATTCATATTTTTTAATAAAATGAATAATATCACGCCATTTAGCGTTGATTATCAAAGTTATTTTTCAGCCCAAGACTTCTTGTATTTTATGAGAAATTCGACTAATTATGTACATAATAGAGGTTACCAGTGGGGAAAACAGATTTTAATATAAAGTTAATATCAAGGAATTTCGTTTTAACTTGTTTTTAAGCATACAACAAAAATAAAATTTGTTTGCTTGTTGTGTAAGATGTATTTGTTTTTCATCTCATTCTCATTCAATACTGTTTTTTAAAGCTCATTCGATGAAATAAAATTTCATCTTATACACAAACAAACAAATATCCTCTATGTAAGTAAATATTTGATATCTAATTAATTAGCTGAATTTGCTGTTATAACAATAACAGTGCATATAATGAATAATTTTAAATTATTCACATCTAAGACTAAAACACATGTAGACTTGTATGTTTATGTATAAAACATCTTCAAGACGATATAAGAACACTAAAATAGGAAAGATGAGAAGATGCTATTTTGATTTAGATCTAATGACAAATATACATACATGTACATTTTTATCAAAATGGATCTCATCACAGTTTAGCCCCTTACACTCACATAAAGCTGCGACTAAATACAAATGAATTTGATTTTGTATTTAATTTATTTAAATCATGAGTGCCAAAAATTTCCTTAGTACAGTCAACTGTACAGGCTGCTTATCATTCTCTTCAATTTGAATTTTTACCACATGGTTTGAAGAAATGATTCTTTTCCAAGATAATTACACTATTATGCTTATTTCTTAATAGGGAAAGAGAAAGTTATCATTATAAAAATAAACTAACTGATTAATTTATATTCGTTAAATTACTTACGTTGCTTAGAATTTCCATTGCACATTCACGTACATCATGTTGTTTACTACGATGCATTCGAAACATGGTCGTCTTAATCTTAAAACCGTTTGCCGAGATGATATTGTTGATTGATGTGTAAACAAGTAGCCAAATAATATTGATATCCATGATTCTTGTGATCGGATCGTTTGTCAGAACAAATACCCTGTTGCAGCAATCTTCTTTTACAGATTCTGAGAAACATAATATTGTTATGACGTCATAAACTACTTGTAAACACGTGGCATGATTCTAGATAATGTAGAGAGTAGACACATTATAGAGTAGATAAACGTATATTTATAAACGTATTTATATATAAATGTAATGGTTCGAAAATATACAAAACTTATAAAGTGACCGTTACATTTTTTATTGATAATGATGATGACTAGATGCTATAACTGATGTAACTGATATTACATATTACCGTTAGTGTTGCGTAGTGTTAGATTCGCATTCACGAGGATGATATTTTCAACATTATACTGATTTTTGTCATCAAGGCCATGTATAACAAAAGTTGCTGTCAAATAAAATTATACAGATAATAAACTGATGATAAGATATATTTTCCATAAATAGAGATGATATTAGAATAATATGTTGTTGGTGTTAGTGGTGGTGATGATGACGATAATGATTGTGATAAGCACACGTTTACAATGATCGTGCTGCTGCTGATGATGATAATAAAAATAATGATAACCATGCTGCTGTTTAACATGATGACATGTATACTCTTTAAACTTGGAATATGTATTTTTTTCATAGGAACAGTGTAACAGTATATCATGTACTTGTTACACTTTTTCAAAACCATTAGATCTAATTATTACAGATGGAAATAGTAGATCAATATAACAATCGATAATTATCATTGTGATTATATCTACAGACAGCTATTGCTATTATTTGGACCCAAAAATGCCAGTTGTATTTTCTGTACCTTTGAGATACAGCAGCTTTTAAAATTCTTCTTAAAAACGACCATTGTCAGTCTTTGTAAGATCTACCATTAAAGAAATTACTTAAAAACATGATATTGTAACAAAGGGTTTTGAGTGATAAATAATTGATATTCCAAGGCTTAGATCTTGTATAAAGTATCGCTGCTAGAAAGGAATGTTAAATTTGTTTGTCATGTACTGTATGCGAGCCAGAAATTGTAACTGCTACCTGTATATGTCTTCTAAATATTTGGAATGTTGTCTCACATTGGCTTTGCTCATCATTGTTTATCATGTTCAGTCTTGTTTTCTTATTTTAGAACATTTGAAGCATATGATTTTAGAGGACTGAATTCTAAATTTGCTATTTGTGTATGGACAATATCTTCCTTTTTCGACGTAGAAGCGATAATCCGATCGAAACAAACAGTACCCCGTAATCTAGCTTTACATGTTAAAATATTTCGACTTTCAGAAAGTTCTGAGTCACTCAAGTCAATAATTCTTCGACCAAAAATTCCAGAAGTCGAATCAGGTTTTTTTCATGTTGCATGTATTTCAATAGCCTGTTTTGCTATATTTTAACATATAACGTATCGTTTTACTATTGACTATGATATCTAATTGTTAAGAATGATAGTCACCAAAATATGATCAATTGTGTTTTCACCGTTATTGACGTACCCAAAATAACTCAACTTTAGTTGAGTGTATTCTGTAATGAACTTGTCTGTCTGCAAATGTCTGTTTGCACAATTAGTTTAGGTTAACAGACTGTAAATGATGATTCTAACACGACCCGCATTTTCCCTATTAAACATAGAAGGACCGAAAGTGTATTTTGCAATTATGGACGTTTTCGGGAGTTTTCATATAGACATACATGTATAGGCAGAATTAAAACTGTTCTATAGAATTTCTTTAAAATTGTCATGTTGTTAGAATATGGAAACAGAAACATTTTAAGCGAACATAAAACGGGGTCAACGATATCATTTTTGAGTTATCTGCCCCTGAATCAGAATTTTCTACTTATTTGAGGTCATTTAAAGGGCAGATAACTCATACATAAGTAAATGAATTCTTGTTTTTACTTCTGGATACTCTTTTTCTTTTTATTGTTAAATACAAAACATAATTACATGCAATTCCTTACATCGTTTCTGTTTTGTTTTTTTTTCAATGAAACTAAGGTACGTTAAATTTATGGGAAAAAAATAAAGAAAAATGCACATGTTAAGAGAAGAAGTGGGAAAAAACCTTTTCACTCTAAATTTGTTCTTAAAATTTTGCATAAGGACTAAGACGAAGGTAAGCGTCATGAAAATAAGAAGAAAAAATGTATTGTTTCACTTCATTGTAAATTATTTGCCCTTGATTTTAACGAAAAAGTCCCATTCAAGGGCAGATACCTCGAAAATGAGAACGGTGACCCAAATCTTTTTCCGTTTAAAATGTTTCTGTTACCATATTTTAATAACATGCGAAGTTTAAAGAAATGCTATTGAATAGTTTTAATTTTGCCTATATGTCTATTATGAAAACTCTGGAAAACGTCTTTAAATCGTTGTTGTCGTTGTATATTTAGACATGTGACGTAACCTTTAGACATGTGACGTAACCATTAAAAAATGCGACGCGCTAAGAATAAGTACCGAAACAAATCAGCCGCTATTAAACTTGTTTCCAGTTGCCGCAGCATTTATTTTTGATGTCGTGTTAAAATCGAAATAATATATCCACGTCTTGATATTATCACTGTTTGTCGTTCGGATGCACATCAATATAAATGGGATTTTACTTTTTTATTGATCGGGAAGCAATTTTGTGCGGTGAAGCAGAAAGTGCAAGCGTTATGCGCACCAAGATATGGAACTTCTGTAAAGTGGTGAATAGATCCTGCCAGCAGTTTGACCAGTGAAAGCCTGACAAGTTTTTTTTCTATTTATAGCGACGGTGGCCATTTTGTGCAGCAAAGCGGAGCATGCCAGCGATATGCATCACTAAAGATGGAACTGATCACTCCAGTAAAGCTTCGTTGAAATCCAACCAGCCGTTTGACCTGTGAAAGCTAGACAAGAGTTTTCTTTTCATAGATTTGGCGGCCTTTTTGTGCAGCGAAGCTGAACGTGCAAGCGATATGTACAATTAGAGATAGTACTGATCACTCATGTACAGCTTCATTTGAATCCCACTAACAGTTAGATCTGGAAAAGCCGGATATTTAAGCTAAATCCGGACGGACAACCATACGGATGTGTCAACATTTGGTGTTTATGTGCTTTTTGATTGATTTTTATGTGGCACTTTTCTACATTAACCAGTCGGTTTTTTTTGATTTTCTTCTTTTTAACTAAGATTATGGACGGAATGAAATTAAAACTCCAGTGAATGTTTGCCCTGAAAAACGAAAGCAGCCAGTTTCTATATCCTTCGTTTTTGTTCGAAAAGGCGGGGGACAAAAACTAAAACATCAACTCTTAGTCAACCGTAGATGACACTTAAGACCAACGTTTTATCCACATTTCTGTGCAAAGGATGATCGTACTGCATTTCATAATGATTTACAATCTTATTGAATGGTAATAAAGGCCAAAACGTGCCGTGATTTAGCGCAAGAAACACACTGGCAATAACAAAAGTTATCATAAGAAATCTGTGACATCTTCAGAGTTATCACAAGAACTTCGGGACATTTGAAAAATCGGGTATAAATCTGTTAGCCGGTGCTTTATGCTTGCAATTTTGCATTATAATTAGGTAATTATGTATGGCAAGGATGAAGACCAGAAATAAACAGGTCAAAACTAATGTGAATTGGCAAATAATTTGGAAATTTTACTCAAAACTACCAGATTTGAAGCAAGAGGCGATTAAAAATGGCATGTGAATTAGTTTTTGACACATAATACAAGATGTAAGACAAGCTTAATCATTAAAGTTTAATTTAGCACCTAAAACTCATTTTGGAAAGATGAAAAGAACCATTTTCACGAGTGTTATTGTAGTATATACTGATGTTTTCCGACGAACCCCGTGACAGTTATCACAAGAACACCTGAACAAGTTATCATAAGAACTCCATCCTTCGTGTAACACTTCCTCCCCCGTGTACATGTATTAATGTTCTAAGTTTGGCATGTGGTATGGCTCTGACTGACTGTTATTTACAATGTAAAAACACTTTTTACTTAACAAATGCAAGTAGCATTATGGCAAGTACAATTATAATTTATCAAATTTCTTGATATTCTTATACAAATTGATAAAATAAGCACTAGAATGCCCCACTAATTAAGTGTTGATGTCCTTTTGAATGCACTAGTGTCCTTCTAAAACATTTATAACAAATAAAATCAATTATTAGCTTCAATGCCATACGTCTTTTAATACTTGATTTGAAACACAAGTGTTCATGAAAGCAATTTACTGCATATGTAATAGCTCTAATCATCTGTTGTACGAATTCAATATGATAGTCACAATGACAGTCTGTCTCACAAGCATTATGTGATAAGACAGCTTTCCGTTTTGTCTGTTTGACATCACAAATTCGCAATCTTTAGTGAGCCCATAACGCAGCCAGATATGCCGATTTCTTAAAATGGTAGTTTGGATGATCAAACACTTAACTTCCTTTCTCCTGGAAAATGAAAACTAGAGCGAAGCATATGTTTCAATTTTATACATGTATAATAGTAACAGTATAATATACTTTATGTGATCTTGGAAAACAGGGGAGGGATGAGTGGGTGTTAAAGTATTTGTGTAAGAGCACTAGAAAACGTGACCTGCTTCGCCGAAATCCAATGCAGAGAGAATTTCTCCAAATTATCTAGACCTAGTTTTTCTATGTGCTATTTACAATGTCCATAACAAATTATTTTAGCTCTAAATACACATTTAAAATCAAATATTAATTCTTTTTAATAATGTAAATTCACTTGTATAGTGTTATATTCATATAAAACAATTGTAAAATAATTAAAATCAATTGTTAAAGTATTTTTGTAAGAGCACTAGAAAACGTGACCTGCTTCGCCAAAATCCAATGCATAGAGAATGTCTCCACGCGCCTTCCTGGTGACGTAATAAATAATGACGTGCGTGGTCAGAACCTACATGCCCGGAAGTGTTGCCTCCCATAAGACTCCGGATAAAGACTTGCTTGAAATATCTGTACTTAACTTATTTTTATATCATCTAGTGCTTCTTTTGCCATAGATT